TGGAAATTTACACTATACTATAGTCTTAAAGAGAAGTTCTGTAAAACAATGTGTTGTTGGTACATGTCACCAGAGAAATTGTCTAGAGCAGGTGTGTCAAACATGCAGCTTGTGGGCCAGATACGGCCCGTAATAGGCTGTGGAGTTGGCCCCTGGAGACCGCGAGGGACTGGCCCCTGCCATCCCGGGCCTGTCTACACCCACTCAATCAACCGCCATGTCCACCCCAGCTCCTCAAGGGCAAACTCCTGATGTGGCCAGGGACGGGATCCAGTTTGACACCTGTGATCTAGACCAGGGGTCTCCAACCTTGGCAACTTTAAGACTTGTGGATCTCAACTCCCAGAATTGGCTGGGTGAGGAACTCCAGAAGTTGAAGTCCACAAGTCTTCAGTTGCCAAGGTTGGAGACCCCTGGTCTAGAGTGTATAAAGGCCCTTCAAACGTAGCCTGGCAAACTGAACAGCAAGAAAGGAGGTTTTATCACATTGGGTGGATGTATTTAAAAAAAACCAGAAAGCTCAAATATGTACACTAATGCAGAGGAGTTTGAAGATTAATATAGAATTTAAATCAGGGGGCATTTCTCAGGGAATGGATAAACAGTTGGGGGAAAAAGGTCATGGAACGATAACTGCGGCAAGATTAAAGATGGAAAAATTCAGCATTATCCACAATGGAGGAATGCTTTGGTGAAAATGACAACAAAAAATTGATTTATTTTATATCAACATTCACTGTTGACTAGAAATCCCTTACAAGTAGTACAGAGTTTTGGGCTTTTTAAAAAAATATAATTTAACAAATTAATTATCAGGCTCCTTCCCGTGGGAAAATGCTGTTGTTTTGAATTCTTTAAAGCAAAACATAAAGTGATGGGAAAGAACTAAAAGGAGCTAAAGATTACAATTAAAGGAGAAGAACATTTAATTCGACTTACTAATACAGAATGGAACAAAATAATTCAACATTAGATAGTATTTGCAAATCATGGACCCACAAATTAATTTTAAGAGGGCCTGCCATTATACATAGACTGTCTTTAAAAGATGTTACACTAGACCAGCTAACGTCTTAATAATTAAAAGAGATACACAAATAGAAAATCTGGATAGTTCTCCTACTGGATTTATAAAACAGGCTGTTAAAACTGAAGAATTTATGAGGACAAAGGAAAAAATGAAAGGAATTCAAGTGCTGGGATATTAAGGGATTAAAGAGCAAGATTGCCAAAAGGAAGAGGAAGACATATAAAGTTGGTTTATCTGATCAAGGTTAAAACAGATATTTGGTTACTTTAACAGAATAACAGAGTTGGGAGGGACCTTGTAGGGTTAGGGTTAGTCCAACCACCCCCCAACCAGGAGACCCTACCCCATTTCTGACATATGGCAGTCCAGTCTCTTCTTGAAAGCCTCCAGTTACCTCTTAATGGACTTCTGCTGACCAGACTTTAAGGATTTGTTTATAGATAAGAGATATGAGAAGATGATCATTTCTTGGCTCTTAAAAAGAAAGTGACAAGCCACTGAAATTATTTATGGAGATGTCATTTTTTGTATATTGCTCTTCTTCCCTATATCATTTTCTTCTTCTTTTCTATTTCTTTATATCAACTTCTTTAATTTCTCTAATTCTTTTTCGTTTGTATCTTAATCGTTATGCTTAATAAAATTACTGCAAAATGTCCCATCACTGCCCAATGCTGGGCTTGACAGGGTTGGTGTCTCGACTATTTCGGGTCCAGCTTTGTAGCCAGACAAAAGTAGCATCAGGAACAATTAAAGCAATCTGCCATAAACATCGCTCTACAGGTGAGGATGTCCCAGGGACACAGTGACCATCGGAGGGGGGTCAGAGGTGGAATTCAGCAGGTTCTGACCAGTTCTGGAGAACCGGTAGTGGAAATTTTGAGTAGTTTTGAAGAACCGGGAAATCCCACCTCTGACTGGCCCCGCCAACCCCATCTATTCGCTGCCTCCCCGAGTCCCAGCTGATCGGCTGGGTCTCCTTTGGTTGCCCTGCCCAGGAGAACGGAGCTGGAAAGCAGGTTAGTGGGATGGGGAGGGAAGGGGGATTCTGCAGTATCCTTCCCCTGCCACGCCTACCAAGCCACACCTACCAAGCCACGCCCACAGAACCGGTAGTAAAAAAAAAATTGAATGCCCCCACAGCCAAACCCACTGACCTGCGAAGGCTCGGGCCTCGTCTGTTGGAACGGCTCGCAGGTGACGGAGGTCACTTTTGTTCCCCACAAGCATGATGACGATGTTGCTGTCGGCGTGATCCCGCAGCTCCTTCAACCACCGCTCCACGTTTTCGTAGGTGAGGTGCTTGGCAATGTCGTAAACCAGTAAGGCCCCCACGGCACCACGGTAATAGCTGGAGGAACAAAGCACATCACCGATCACCCGCCGTTTAACATTTCTAGGTCCCCCCCCCGCTCACTGACAAACCTGAGGGGCTTACAAGGAGGGAAACAACAAACGCTGTATAAAAGCTACGGTGGCGCGGTGGTTGGAGTGCAGTACTGCAGGCTACTTCTGCTGACTGCCGACGGCCAGCAGTTTGGCAGTTCGATCCTGACCAGCGCAAGTTGATTCAGCCTTCCCTCCTTCCGAGGTGGGTAAAAGGAGGACCCAGATTGTGGGGGGAAAGAGGCTGACTCTGTAAACCGCTTAGAGGGGGCTGGAAAGCACTGTGAAGAGGTATAGAAGTCTAAGTGCAGGGAGGGAGGAACATGCTGTAATGGCGTAGTGATTAAGAATGCAGTATTGTAGGCTGCCAACTGTCAGGATTTCAGAAGAATTGAGGTTGAAGAATTTCAAGAATAAAACTTATACCTAAAAGAGTTACAGATGTACCTGCTCCCTCACTTAAGAGAGTCAGCCAGGTGCAGTGACCATGGTGAGGAACTACAAACCATGGTGAGGAACTACAAACCATGGTGAGGAACTACAACCAGGAGGCTGTGAGTTCTAGTACACCCATGGACCGGGAAGATGGACATGTAACTTTAGACCAGACTGACTCTCCCTCCCTCTCCTTCTCCCTCTCTCTCTCCCTCCCTCTCTCTCATTCCAGTCCATCTCAAGGGCAATTGTTGCATGGAGAGAATATGAGGTAGCAACCTTGTATATTTAATGCCTAGTTGTACAGAATAAAAGTGGGACATATTGAACTAATAAATAAATCTCTCCTTCTGAAGTAATCTTTGGTCCCACTCACAAAGGGTGGACAATCTTCCACGTGTGAAAGAAAATCGATGAGAAGCTGAAGCCATCATCTATTTTAACCATGATCTGTTAAATTACAACACACTGAACCAATCAAACCTTGCTGCACCTTAGTGTAATGAAGAGACTTAATAGGTAAGATGCCATTGATCCTCAGCAAATGAAAACCCGCTAACTACAGAATACAGTATCTGAGAGCCTCCAGCTAATTCTGTCACTAATGTGCTTTTTGCTAACAAACCTAACAACAAGGATTCAGGACTTCAATGACGTTAATTGTATCACATCATTCCTGATTTCTTTGCAAATAAAAGAGTCTAAAAGCTTTTCTAAAAAGCACTTAACAAGGGCCTAGGAGCAGAGAGTTTCATACCCGTGGAAAGGGAAACCCACATTGTGTGATGTAGTTTTAAATTAAGGGTGCAAATGTTTTTGCAAAGAGGACTAGGAGGAAGCACTAAATGTGATTTCGTGTTACATTTAAGTTTACCTTGCATTTAAACCAGCATTCCCCAATCTTTCTGGTTTGGTGGAGTGCCGGAGGCAGTGGCAGTAGAGGAAGAGGGGATGGTTTCAGAGGCGCGCACTGCTTTCACAAGTGAAACTTTCTTCATGCGCGCACTCACCCACCACTTCCCACGGCCTGGTTTCAAACGGGCTGCGGACCCCTGATTTAAACCACCTTAATATAGCTAATATGACTGTTCCCACAACGTAATTTTCTTCCTCTTCTTTTTTTTTAATGACTCCATTATCCCTTGCGGGGTGGAGTCTGAGCAACAGAATGGAGCTAGCAGTGTGTTTACTGGCCGGATGCCCTTCCTATTGGCAATGCGGAGTTTTGTTCAGCAGATATATTCTCACTGTGCCCAGAGAAATACCTGCCTCTACCTCCTCTTTATGAGGCAAGAGCTCCACCTCTAGGCCATCGCACCACTCCACATAATTTCCCTCCTCGGTCATGTTAAAAATAAATTTAGAAATTAAAAGTATTATTGTACCATATTTATTTTAATTAATCCAGAGAAAACTGTATGGCATAATAAATACGTTAAGACTCCTTTGGATCATCTGGGCTAGGAAGAGAAGGGACACTTACGCAGATGTGATGGCTCGGTATCGTTCCTGCCCAGCCGTGTCCCAGATCTGAGCTTTGATGGTCTTGCCGTCCACCTGGATGCTCCGGGTGGCAAACTCTACACCGATGGTGCTTTTACTCTCCAGGTTGAACTCGTTACGCGTGAAGCGAGAGAGGAGGTTGCTTTTGCCAACTCCGGAGTCCCCAATGAGAACCACTGGAAAGGGGAGACCAGAAGATTATTGGAGAAAGAACTTGGAACCCAAAAAAGAAAAAAAATTGAATGTTGTTATTCTATTACGTCAACTGCAGGGAGAATTCGGTGGGTGTCAAAAAATAGAAAGGCCCATCAATTCCCACAAGGGAAGAAGGGGTGGAAAAATTTGGCAGAGATGGCAAAACTAATTGTTTTAATTGAAGAAGAAAAAAATATATGTTCAAATGTAACTCTGAATAGTCCCTAAATGAACTGTTGTAACTCAAGGACTACTTGTACTTATAAAGCAGAGGTCTCCAAACTTGGCAACTTTAAGACTGGTGGACTTCAACTCCCAGAATTCTGGGAGTTGAAGTCCACCAGTCTTAAAGTTGCCAAGTTTGGGGGCTCCTGTTATAAAGTAATAAATTTAAGTTCAGAAACCTATCTACGTCGGGCAGGGAAAGAAGGCTGGGCTTTTGAAGTTGACGTCATTAATGTGAGATGCCAAATAATAAATCACAATCCACCAAGAAGCTCTTCCTGAGAAAGCAAGCCTCTCACACGTTAAAAAAAGAAAAAGAAAAAGTGATCCATCATGATAAGCAAGCCCCAAGCAGGAAAACAGCTTTTCGGATAAAAACACCAAAGGCTGTGAACGTTCCCAGACCGCCAAGCCAAAGCTGCACACAATTCAAAACGCCAGGTTAATTAAGTTTTGGCGGCTTCTCTGGAAAGCAATCAATCTGGGGAGCCAGAGAAGCGCCCAGCACGGGGGTCCCGTCCCCCCCCCCCAAAAAAAAGCCAGCCAGCCTGCTGAAAATCCCCCATCGCTCTTCCAGCAGCAGGCAGGGCACGATGAGCTGGCCTCAGCAACTTCCAAGGACAGAAGCCAGGGAGGAAAATCCATTACCTCACTGGGCAATCAGCTGACTCCTATTTGCAAATCCAAAAGGCTTAAAAACCACCGCAGAGGCCGAGGTTTCTGCAAACGCTTGGCAGGTAAAAGCACTGGGTGGGAAATGAAACTGGCCTCGGCAGGTTGGAAAGACCTTTTTTTCCCCCCACCATGGGCAGAAAAGATGGAATATTTTAAAAGGCTCTGCATTTTGGGGGGGAGGGGGGCAAAATAGAGGTAGTCCTCGACTTACGACCATCCGCTCAGTGACCATTCAAAGTTGCAATCCTGAAAAAGTGGCTTATGGTGGTTTTTTTTTTTTCATATTTAAGACCACTGCAAGCCTCCCCACGGTCGGGCCAGCAAAATTCGGACACTTGTGGCAACTGATTCATATTTATGACTTTTATAGTGTCTTGAGAGTCATGTGGTCCCCTTTGGCAACCTTCTGACAAGCAAATCAATGGGGGGGGGGGGAAGCAGATTCACTTAACAACACGGCAAGGGAGGTCATCAAACGGGACAAAAAATGTGAGACTCAATTGTGGCCATAAGTTGAGGACGACTTGCAACTTGGGTGGAGGAGGAGAATGGTGGGCTCACTTCGCCCATCCTACAACTTCCCAAACTCTGCAAGTGGCCCAGAGCCTCCAAACAGAACATGAAGCGGGAACCGAAAGGCCGGAAAGAGGAAGCAGGACTCCTGCCACCTGGTCCTGCCTGTGCCGTAATTCCCAAACCTGTCAGAACACAACTCCCATCAGCCTGGGCCAAGAATGACGGGAGCCAGCGAGACAAGTTCAGCTAAGGGTAAAAGCAGCAAAGGGAGGTCAAACTGAAGTGCCTCCAAACCCCTCCCGTAAAATAGCCCCTTCTGGGAGTGATGTCCAATCTTGCACATTTTTTAAAATTATTTTATTTATTTACATCCTGGCTCTATTATTTTTTACAAATAACTCAGAGTGGCAAACGTATCCCACACATCTGTCTCCTCCTATTTTCCCAACAACAACAAACTTGTGAGAGGGGTTGGGCTTAAAGAGATCTTTCGTATCTAAGGCAGGACTAGAACTCAAGGTCTCCTGGTGACTGGCCCAAAGATACCCAGCTGGCTTTTATGCCTAAGGC